CATCGGTCTTGTTTAACAAAATCTGCCTAATGTATATCTTATGAACGTTTCTAAATTTGGGAGTATCTTGAATTCTTATTGAGTCAACTACACAAATTACTTTTGTACAATTTGATTCACGCATATCTATTTCATCTAGTTTTTCAAAATATTTCTTCTCTAAATGTGATTTTGAAGTTTTGTTAGAGCAAGTCGTGTAAAGACTCAGTGGGAAAATATACAAGTAGTTTCGATGAATCATATCATCCATCCATATACATATCTGATGATATACTCGGGTAATAAGGATGCTTGAACGGTATACAGTAAATAAGCTTACATGATTTAAAGAGTAAACAAAAGTGGGATAAACACACCAAACTCAATTTTTCATATTGATAATATTACAAAATTTTAGGAATCATAGTTTTTAGTAATGCCAATTACAATTAAGATTTATATTGCCAACAAACATGAAATGTACTAATGAATAAATGTGAAGTCAAATCTATCATCCAATTTACCATTTGTCACTGAGTTACACTGATTTCGGAGGAATCTCGCCCTTGAACAGCAGCTCTGTACAAGGGCAAATTAAAAAGAATAAGATTAGGCTTCACGTAGTAGTAGAGTGTGTATTATATGCATGGTGTTTTGCAGTGTGTAAGTAAAAGACATTTCATAGCACCATATACACAATCTTGAAATTTGACTTGCATAGCCACGTTGGAATCGATCAAAACACTCAAGTTTTGTGAATAAGATCGAACCTTTTATAGGTATAATATGTTCTTACGATAATATCTATATATATAACTGGTTGTCTACATTTCTTATTTAAAGTAAATAAGACTTATACTGTCTTTCAAACAGAACCCATAACTCAAGTATCCATTAGAACTAATTTTCAAGAAGTTAAAAAGGAATTTTCAGTATATCCTGTTTAGAAAAGCTAAGGAAATATTGATAGCTACTTCCTATTGACGGAGCCGTATGTAATCCGGAAAAACCTAAACTGTAAAAAAGAAATATTTTCACTGAATTGTATTTTGGTTGATACAGACGAACAATCATAACATTAATTAACATTTAAGGTTTTGACAAGATTGACTGTTGTACCCTAGTATTGTCACTCAATGTTTTTACATGATGGTACTGTTGTATTGTCACTCAATGTTTTTACATGATGATACTGTTGTATTGTTGTATTGTCACTCAATGTTTTTACATGATGGTACTGTTGTATTGTTGTATTGTCACTCAATGTTTTTACATGATGGTACTGTTGTATTGTCACTCAATGTTTTTACATGATGGTACTGTTGTATTGTCACTCAATGTTTTTACATGATGGTACTGTTGTATTGTCACTCAATGTTTTTACATGATGGTACTGTTGTATTGTCACTCAATGTTTTTACATGATGGTACTGTTGTACTGTAGTATTGTCACACAATGTTTTCACATCATGATATATTGTTGTGTCTGTGTACTATGTAGATAGATCCATGACGAAACTTCGGCTTTTCACAAACA